TGATTGTAACTCGCTGCGATGACATTCGTGTTTTCACGTCTTTCTCGCTCCCTATTTAATTCTACAATGTTAATTAGTGTAAAACCAAAATTTCTACATTCTCTACACCGCTACAGAAATCGGTAAAAAAAAAAGAGCGTAAAAAATTGATATATCGGAAATTTCCGGCGCTTATCTCTGTAGTTCCGAGATTGACGCGTTACTCTTTAACATAGTCGACTTACAAAGATTTTTGTTTGCCCCGTTTCTCTTTCTTGCTCTTTATAAGCTTATACAATGTTGGTCTGTGTTAAAGGAACATTTTACCTTCACCACTTGTTATATTGTACCGGAGCGTAAACCGTATACAAGTAAAAAATAGGGGGCCTCCAAGTATTACCCTCATCCACCACCAGTAGTAGTAGTAGTAGCCTAGTTGTTGTGATTAGATGGGCCAGTAGGGGGAAACTTTACTTCAATATTTTCTTTACTTTACTCTACGTTACTAATTAATACAGCAACAGTTTCGTTTAACTTAGATTAAATGGCAATAAAGACATTCAAACGCTTCCCTTTTGATCGCATTAATAATCTTAACTTTCAGCAATTTAGTTTAATTTCCTGAAGGTGTTCTTTTCCTATTGGTTTGTATGGAAGAGAAAAAGGAAAATTAAAAAAAAAGAATGAAAGATTTTTAATAAGTTTTGTAGGCATTTGATACTTTTTTTTTTCCTGAAAGTCGACATTTCTTTTTTTCTCTCCCCCTTTTCTTTTTTTTTTCTTTAGAGCTTCCATTCGGAAAGTTAAATTCTAACAATTAAAGAATATTCAAATAATTTTCGACAATTTGCAATCAACGTTCTTGGTAATAATTATTATCGTATTTTTTTTAATAGGAACCGTTCGATATCTCTTGTTCAGAAATATCCTGGATTAATTTGAAACATTGATGACCATCTGTCTCATTATCATGCATTATTAATCATTATTAAAAATGTAAAGAAATGAAATGACAAAAGAAGTAATGGNTTCTTGGAAGTGTTTATAGTGTTTCAGTCAGGTGATCACAGCGGGGAGAATCTCTTCAAGCATTTTGGGACAGATGCAAGAGCCAGCGGGGATAGAAGGATATCTCACACACGCACTTAATGCTAAATAGCTATTTAATGAGAAGAAATTTCATCTATTTATTTAATTAATCTATAAATAATTACTTTAAACCTTAGTTTATTATCATAATTTCCATTTGGGTTTTGGTTTTTTTTCTTCTCCCTTTCTGTACGTTCCCTCGCTTTAACGTTTTATTATTTCGTTGTTATGTTAAGAGATACTTCCTGGTTGAAGATCATTTCTATCTTTACAAATCTCTAGAGAGTGGGTTCTGGTCGAAAACGGACATACATCACATTCCGATTCAATTGAGATGCTCCAACGGTGACTCCACTTCACTCTTCCATATTGTAACCATCGTTGAAGGAAAATTAATTTAAAATTGTCCAGTTTTTTTCGTTAGAAATTTCCCTTCGACGTGCCAATTTATTTTAGGCTACTTTTTAAAGTTTTGGTATACTTTTCTAGCTTTAAAAAGGCTCGTGTTCGTTGCGTGCAACGACGTTTAAATTCGAAATCTTCGTCGATTATCCAATTTTAAACCGTTCGTACGTCGGTTAGTCCGAAAGTTTAACGTTTATTTGCCATTTTATTCTATGGTTTAAACGTTTATTTATCGGTTTAACCGAAAATTTTAACTCCCGTTTGTCGATTTATCCGAAGATTTATAAAAGTATCCGCCGGTTTATCATGTGGTTTAACGTTTTATTTCTCCGTTTACCCGTTTGTTTGTCTATAACTTTCTCGATTTATCCGAAAATTAATGAATATTATCGGTTTATTCGAAGATTTACACGCTTAATTTTCAATTCATACGGAAGTTTAAACCGTTCGTTTGTATGTTTGTCCGTAAATTAGATACGTAATGAATTTATCAAATATATAAAAATTTAAAATTTCGATAGATTTTCAATGAAAAGAGGGGAAAGAGAGAAAGAAAAAATTTTATTTATCTTCCACTGAATAAATAGTTTGTTATCACAAAAGTTAATTTCTTAATCCCTTATATTTTTTTAAAAGATCTTTTATCGTTATATACGAGAAAAAAAAGATGGAGAAAAATAATAATAATAAAGTTTAATTCGTGATTATTTAATAAAAGTTAAAAGAGCCATTATCTTCGAAGATAATCATGAAACAAATTTCGACATTAGTTTCTGTAACAGAGCTTGTTTAGCGGGGACATGACAAGTATTCTAGGTTTGACTTTACTGCTCTTGAACACGCAAATATTTGTCATGGAAGAATGCATAGTCTAATCAACATAAATTTTATTATGTATCCCTCGATAAAATAATAATTTATTAAACTTAGGATAATTATATTCGATTAATTGAATGAGGGGGGGAGTTATAGTGTTCGAAAAACACACTCGAAACTTTGGCGTGTTTCTAATTACTCTGTTTACTCTATATTAAAAATAATCTTTAATTATGATAAAAGTACATTTTTCTATTATTTTAATGCATTGTATGGTACTAAATTCTTCGAGATTTCGGTTAATTACATTCGAATTAAACGGATAAGGAGTTATGATAATTGAAAAGTGCGAGTGAAATCTTCGCGTATTCGTCGTTTAAATAAATAAAATTAAATTCTATAAATTATATAAAATGAGAAATTTTTACATTTTTAGATACTTTTGAGGTAAAATTTTATTGTATTAGTTTATATTAAGCTCACTTATAAGGGGTTAGAGAGGCATTTAGAATTATATAGAATTTGAAGGAAATTTACCGAAAAAAACTCTGTAGGTTGATAATTTCTATATGTATGTTAAGTAAATGACTTTATCAATTATGGAAATGGGAAATTTTTGCTATATTAGAATGGTATTTACGCATTTATTTAGCAGTCGGCCATGTTACCTTTAAGCGATCTTGTTGTACGAACAAAATAATCTGTTTTTAAGAAATCACAATCTGATTTGCAAGTATTTTTATAGGAAAAATGCATTTCGAGAAAGCATCTGAACTTGAAGAGTGTTTTTAACAACGTCAAGTAACATAGTCTCTCGAGAAATCTGTTTGCAGTGACAATGACATATAAAAAAATATAAACCTTTTGCATGCCAATAAATCATGACAGCTTTGTAAATCTCAAGAGATCTAATCCTAAATTCGTAAAGTCTTATATTTTTCACGTTTAACTAATTGGATATTTGGTTTGGAAAATAAATTGCATTCTTATTTTGAAAGACAAGTGTTATTGGATACTGCCTATTTATATGTTTGGAAGTTTTCTAATATAAAACAAAACTTTACTCATCAGACTCGTTTTATATTATAAATAACTGTTATTCTTTCATCTGCCACGCCTAGAACGTCTGATCTACCCACGGAAGACGAGTTTTACATTGAAGTATCCAATAACCTGCTGTGAACGTCTGGTCAACAGAAATTAAGTCCTTGTAAAAAAACCATCATATGGGTCACCATACAGCTCTATCAGACCCCCTCCCTTCTCTTGCACTTGTTGATTTAAACTTATCTCCAGCGTAGTTAGTCTGCTTACAACTTTTCTCCAGCATCCTGAAAGAATGGAAAAGAAGATCCTGTGGGAGGAGACGTACCTCTTCCGGAATTCTAGACACTTATATAAGAACATCCTTAAGAACAAGATGCTTGAATAGTCTATGATTTATTTTATTTTTAGCAGGCAAAAGAACAAAATAAAAATAAAAAAGAGTTAGAAAAGAAGGAAGAAAAAAAAAAGTTCGCAACATTAAAATTTTTGAAATCTGCAAACCAAACAGAAAAAAGAAAGCGGCTCCTGGAGAAATTTAAATTTTTATTATTTTACAAAATGATAAATATCAAATTTGAATTTCTGACTATCAATATTTCGAACTCATATATATATATACATATAGAGATAGGACATCATTTCCGATGTCATTTCATAAAGTTTTCTTTTTAACACCCAAAGGCATTTCATAAAACCTTTATAACTTATTTGGCGTTTTAAAATTTCAAGCAAGGAAAAAAAACTAGCGCATACTCACACACATACACACAACATACACAACACACACATACAGACACAGACACACACACGAATATATATATATATATATAAATGTAGAAATCTCAAAGCAAGAAACATGCAGACAGCAATCGAATCAGTACGAAATAAAAAAGAAAAAAACTAAAAAAAAAATCTTCACAGATTGTCAACATATCTTTGCCCTGAGGAATATAAGTAAATCTTGTCGTGTTCATTACAAGTCGAATTGTAAATCCCAAACCTACTATAGTTGATAAGACTATATTGATTTGAACAGTCTTTCAAAATACTCATTGTTGATTGGACAAAAGTTCCTTTTTAAAGAAAAGTTAAAGAAAATTCAGATCAGTAAAGGTCTGTTGATTTCCACAGGGATAACAAATAGCAGAGTTAATTTACCTGGCTAATTATGACTCAAGAACAAGATTATGCGAAACATGGTAATCCCTATTTCTGATGAATAAGTCTTGAAAATTTTGTGTCTTTTTTTTTTTCCTTTTTTCTTTTTCTTTATTTGAGTCGATCGTTTCTACTCTTGTTCCGTTAGACTTTAATTGACGAGAACTTTTTCTCTCGATAAGATTCTCCTATAATGTAATCCTTCTGATCGAAGTAGAAATTGAATCTTATCATTAGCTTTTCTTTCGTAGGAAACTTATCGAAACGTATTTACTACTCGTAATCTCTGAATTTCTATGATTTTCCAGACTACAGCTTATACTTAATTAACGCTATTATATATATATATATATAAATTTATATACAGTCTATCCTTAAATAAAGGAAATGGTATCATTCGATACGATAGTTATCTATGTAAAGTGATAATGGATATTAATTATCGTTAACTGAATAAAAAAAAATATATATATATATGTTATATTTCCTTTTATGTATGATTGATGATAGTAAATGTAGAATCGGTTATATAAAATTTATAGTTATTGGATACTTTTTAAATGATTAAAATCGGGATAAAGGATAATCTAGAACGGCGCCGGTAACGTGTAGAACGGTTTGTTTGAGGTGAAAAAATCAGTTTAAATATTAAATAAATTAATTAAATTATTAAAGGACATCAACATGTACATGGTTGTGTATAACTAGAAGAATTATTCATAAAGATATGTTAACTATTTAAGCACCTAATCACTCTGCGCGTTATTTAAAGTACGCTCTTAGTTGTCAAAACGAATGTAGATAAGTATCGCTTTGTTGGGGCTAAAAAATAAATATAAATATATATAAATTTTAGAGTTATTGATATAAATATAAAGTTTTCTCGAAGATATCGAAATAGAGTTTACATTTCCATTTAAAATATTATAGAAGATAATTTTAAGAAAAGCAGAGAAGTGAGGCCATGGTAGAAGATAAATGACTTTTTAACTGCTGGCTTTTGGAGTTAATTGGCTAAGTGCCACCGAAAATCAACTTTCCGCTTCATTTAAAAGCCGAACATCTTTAAAACTATAACTGCCAATCAGTAGGACGCAGTGCGGTGGTTCTGTATCGGGACATTGTTGTTTGGAAAAACACTGTTATGGGCCGTCCCCGTCTATAAAACACCCTAGATACCAAAGTAACAATCGATCCATTTGCGTGTTCACAATACCCCCTTTGCCCAAATGTAAATGATGGTTATATGGCGTGTAGCCACATTTGGCATACTGTAACCTTCAGCTATAGTTACGGATTTCCTAGAATTAACTGAAAATTCGGTTACGTATATGAAAATTTTCCTTTTTTTTTTTTTTCTTCTGTGAGGTGAGAAAAGCGTTCGTTATCCGACTATGTAGTCGGATGTAAGTAGGTTCCTCCTAAACATTGTATGCGACAAAAACCTACCTCAATTATTCCAAGATCAAGCCCTAGGCAAAAGATAGAAAAAAAAAGTCGTCAGCCATAGCTTCTACGTCCTACCCAATTGGATACTGCTCATGTAGAACAGAGCAGTGTCTACAAATATGTTGAACGGACCGTGTTCTCTGTCAGAGCGCAGCCGCGCCTTTAATGACGCTGCACGTCGGCAAGGATTGCCCTGTTTCTCTCATGCAGTCGTGTGTGGAACTACACCAAACTCCTGTACAGTTTCGCCGTAACTTACAGGAAAGTAGTGAGACACCTGTATCTACTAATTGCACTACTTGTGATCCCTATGGTTTTTTTCCATCTAAACAATCTTTCTCCAGATTACGGAGCTTTGGTGGATCGCCAAATATGTATTCGGTAAATATGTAATTTAAAAAAATTAGGTGAAAATAGTTGAAAATTTATGTATAAAATTTTTTGTTGTTGTTGTTTTTGTTTAATTAATTTTTTATGTATAGAAACCTGCGTTGGTTTGGTCGCCCGCACCTGACCCACATGGAAAGAGTTCTGGTAATACATCATCAACTCGACCCGGTTCACCGTCTTCAGGTTTAGTACATTGGATGTCCATGATGGCAGACCATAACCATGATGTACATTATATGTGGAACGGAGTGGAGGTATGATGATAATCATTTTATAAACCCACACGTCGCTCCCCATTCGATAGTAGCACGTGTTACTGTGTTTACAAATACAAAATCGCTTCTAGTCCGGTCCACTTTTAACTCGTACTCCTTAAACCCCTCCGCTTTGTAATTGCCTTTAAGGGTAATTAGACGGATTATCTTTATCAAATTAACCACGTGATCGAGTTTGCTGTAGGATTTACAAATATAGCCTTAGGGTTACCTTCGTTTTATTCCATTATCTAAATCCTAGAAATGTTCGGAGTTTCGTTGATATTTTTGATAGATGATGACGATATTTTCGGTCGAATATTCTCCTGACTCATTAAAAAAGATCGAAGCATCTGTGCGGTTTGCGTGCCAGATCAATTCTTGTAGAAATTATAGACGAATTGCATTACACTTTACAATTGAAATTCAATTTGTAATTTATTAAATTTATTATTTTCCTAGCGGAAGCTTTATTGTAATCTTCTCCCTAGAGTAGTAACGTTACTATGATTAAGCGGTTTCCTATACGAACTTAGGATAATCGCGCGTGATACGTTCTCTGCAACGTCTTCCTTCGATGCAGGAAGAGATAAGGGCAATATGTAGAAAGACATACATTCAACATAATTACAATAATTACCTATACAACTAATATAAACACGGGCAAAAGTCGTAACGTTAAAGAACTCCGCGTACGCTTAAACATGCACGTTCTTAAATCGGAGATGGCAGAAAGCAAGCAATTTAAAATATATTATAGAAAAATACATTTTTTTCATACCTTTTAAACATTTAAATGTAAGGTTTTTAGAGATTAATTTATTAATAACTCTTCAGATTCGCATGCAATATTTAAATGGAGAACCGCTTTTTTTTCGCGTGTTTTTTCCCCTCCTCTCCTCGTACTTTTCTTTTAATCAAAAGCAATCTTTTGCCTTGAACTTTTATTTTACGATTGGCGACGATTTTGTACCCAGTTTCACCTGCGATGTTTGGCCAGTTGCCATGCACATATGCAATTCTGCGGCGAAAATGTGTTACCACTACTTTCCTGCTACAACATGGAAGAGAGGGAGAACTCATTTTTAAATGGGACAAACATTGAAAATTTCTTAATAATTATTCATAAGAAAACACATTTCTATAGCAAAATATATGACTTCAAGAAACGATTTGACTTTTTACAGAAAAAAAATAAATAAAGGAGGAAAAAAAGCAAAATTTTTACAATATCTGACACGCGAATCTTTCAGCTTAATTTGGTCGAGTGTTGGTTAAAGAAAACTCAGTTCATTCAATTATTTTTCGAATGTGGTAAAGAAATTACACAGCCAAAAACACTTCTTTAAAAGCTTCTCTTATATATGGATTCAAAATAACAAGGGGATGTTTAGTTTGTAACCGGTAAAGCGGTAAATACCACAGCCAGACATATATTACGTTTCGATCTGGTCCTCTGGTGATCAATCAGGTTGTGTTGATAGCGTGCCCTACAGTCACCCTGGGTGCCGGCTTCTCTGCTTTTTTCTCCCTTTGGGATTTTTTCCGATTCTTTTCTTTCTTCCATTTGGTTTAATCTTCTTTTTTTCGCTTTCTATTTCTGTCAGGGTAATAGTTATCTGGGTAGAAATTTAGTCCAATTTCTTAGACAGATCAAGTCTAGACTCATATCTTAAGCGGCTAGATGAGAACTAACTTAAAAAAAAACCAAACAAACCTTACATTTCATTAATTCAACTAAAAATCTTGGTTTAATTAAGTCTAAACTTAGCTCAAAACTCATCGAACTTAGTGGAAAAGAAGTGTAAAATGATAATCGAATTAATGAGTTGGCGAGGGTTTGGATTAGTTTCTGGTGGTGCGATGTGTCGGAATTTGGTTATAAAGGCTAAAATCGTATGTAGAAACATCCGCAGAATTATCAATTTATGATTCTCGGCATTATAGATTGCATAGAAAATTTTATCTTTAAAAAAAAGGGGGGCTGCAATCGATATAAATGAACGATATGGGTTAAGTGATAGATAAATGGTAAGTGCATAAATTGTGTTTATTTTACTTTACAATTTAACATTTTTTTTTTTAAAGAAAACTACGAAATTCATCAATCCGAAACTTTAATATAACCTAAAAATACCAATAAAATTATTAAAGGGCCATTAAACATTACATAAATTACAATTTTTACGACAAAAATGTGTCGAGTTAAAAAAATTCTTAACCAAGAAACGTGCGTAAATGGGTCTTAATATATAACTTATATATATATATATATATATACGTTTTTTAATCTAATTAAGATATAATTTTATAAGTCTTTTAGTCATTTCGTAAGTTCTGTGCGTAGTTACGTATCCATCTGTAAAATTTGCAGAACTGTTGGGGGATTACAAAAATGATAGTGCTTGTGAGGGGCGGGTGAACTATCATCAATCATAGTGCTGTGCTCTTGTCAAGTAACAGACGCGGTGGCCAGACTATACACAAGCTTTTTCTAACTTGGAAAGATAATCTTGTAAAGCTTAACGCCGAACACATACACATAGATACAAGAAGAAGTAAAATCTGTAAGATTTTCCAAATCGAATCGAGGAGATCAATTTATTGAGAATTTTCTGGATGGTCCCTCTTTTTTTTTCTTCTTCCTTCTTTCCCTTCTTCCATATATATATATATATATTTTTTATATTTATTTATTTATGAGGAAGTTATGCTTTCTGGAAAGTTTTTGAGGCAGGTGAAAATGGGGATGACCACCGTGTGACATATAAAACCGATGTTAGAAATGAAGACGTCTTGGAATTGTTCGGAGGAGAAATCTTCATTCTAATGCCATCGGTGCGGAAGTGCTTTCTAAAATAAGGATCTCACTAGCAACAGAAATAGTTTCTCTATCCTAATATAGGTCCAAAAAGTCGGGTTTCCAACAACATGTTTAAATTTATGATCATTTTTTAAATATCAGACTTTGCCGAGTTGTTAAACAAATTTATATCACACCTCGTCGCATAGGCTGATGTTAAAAATTCGGATAATCTTACAGAATATTTTTCTTTACAAATTTTAAATATTTAATATATATATTGAAAAATCTTATAGTTTTGCCCGAGTTTAAAACTTTGTTAAAAACTTTCCTTTTCGTGAAAGCTTAATGACTGATTTTATTCTCGATTTTCGTGGTTTTGGAGCATCGAAAAATACTCTTTTTCGAATACCAAAAACACTCGATTAAAATGGGTTTTGGAAATCGCTTAATAAACAAGTAAAAATTTAAGAAAGGGGAGAAAAAAAATTGAAAAATTTCGAAATAAAATTCAAAAAATCTTAACAAATTTAAATAAATTCTTGGTTGGAAGTTAAACCACTTCGACTTCAAACTTGAAGAAAAATGGCATCGATTGTTTGGCGAACTAACTGCTAGCATATTGTCTTAATACGAAGAGTTATTTATTCTTTTGTAATGATAATTTTTCGCTTCTGTCGCGGCACAAAATGTGAATTTCTAATTATGAATTTTTCCCGGGATTCAAAGGGTCTTTCTCTCCTCTCTCTCTCTCTCTCTGTACTCCCCGCTAGAAAACGTTGTAAGCAAATGGTGTGAATACGTAGTGCCCGGAGATTCCCGGAGGCCCCCCGAATGTCAAATGACTATCATTAATTGGCAAAGAAGCGGCCCTTGGTGGTCCTCTTGGTCATACGCTCCATCGATTTTTCCTATCGAAAGGCCTGCTAATTCTTTCCGACTTATGCGAAACGTAGATTTTCATACGTATGAAGAGCTACATTTAGGCCCCTATTTACTATAGATTGCTGTATGTATTAAAGGCCTCTCTCTTTACTATAGATTCCTCCACTTATAATCTTAATTATACCCTTTCTTTTAGTTGTATTTTACTGTATATTCCTGTTACCGCAGCTATACTTGTCATTGCAGCTTCCTACAGCTATAATGTTGCTGTAGATTCTTATAAATGAAACTTTTACTGCATTCTTTACACTTCGAAAACGCATTTTTTAGTATTAAATTACATAAAAATTGGAAATTACGCACCAAATTGACGCACTTTATACACGAGAATTCAGTAATTTTTGCCTTATATAAGAACTTTTAACAAGCTAAATTCACTTTTTGACAATAATTTTACATAATAACGTTAGTCGAGATTTATATTAGCCACTTTATTATAGTTTAATAAGCAAATGCTTCATAACCGTATCGTTAAGGTGATTTCTCTACAAAATTTGATTCGTTTCCATCAAATAAAAAAAACCTTATAAAACCTTAAAATTGACATATTTAACGTGTTAAATATTACATAAATTTGGCCCTCCTACGTTTTTTAAACACGAAAATAACGCGTTAATGTGCCTACTCACCACAACTCTGCCGTTAACTTCTAACCAAATGTTGTTAGAAAAATCCCAATTTGTTAAGAGAAGATTTTTCATATTAAATTCGAAATTTTAAGAGAGATTTTACAAGATTTTAATATCCACAAAATGATATTTTAGCCATTTTTTAACCAACTAAACACTATATTAATTAACATTAGAGGACTTTTAGGTGTATTTATAGCCGTTTATCTTTATTATCGGTCGATAGTGTTTTACACATCAGTTGAGAAGTCTGTATGGTCGCATTTTTAGTAAGTAATTCACACAGAACTGTTTCCTGCCATAAGAACAATACTTTGATTTCATTTTTTTATACACAAGAATAAAAAAAATATATATATATTATAGATAAGAAGAGACGTTAACATTATGTAAGTTGTTCTTGGAAGTGTTTATAGTGTTTCAGTCAGGTGATCACAGCGGGGAGAATCTCTTCAAGCATTTTGGGACAGATGCAAGAGCCAGCGGGGATAGAAGGATATCTCACACACGCACTTAATGCTAAATAGCTATTTAATGAGAAGAAATTTCATCTATTTATTTAATTAATCTATAAATAATTACTTTAAACCTTAGTTTATTATCATAATTTCCATTTGGGTTTTGGTTTTTTTTCTTCTCCCTTTCTGTACGTTCCCTCGCTTTAACGTTTTATTATTTCGTTGTTATGTTAAGAGATACTTCCTGGTTGAAGATCATTTCTATCTTTACAAATCTCTAGAGAGTGGGTTCTGGTCGAAAACGGACATACATCACATTCCGATTCAATTGAGATGCTCCAACGGTGACTCCACTTCACTCTTCCATATTGTAACCATCGTTGAAGGAAAATTAATTTAAAATTGTCCAGTTTTTTTCGTTAGAAATTTCCCTTCGACGTGCCAATTTATTTTAGGCTACTTTTTAAAGTTTTGGTATACTTTTCTAGCTTTAAAAAGGCTCGTGTTCGTTGCGTGCAACGACGTTTAAATTCGAAATCTTCGTCGATTATCCAATTTTAAACCGTTCGTACGTCGGTTAGTCCGAAAGTTTAACGTTTATTTGCCATTTTATTCTATGGTTTAAACGTTTATTTATCGGTTTAACCGAAAATTTTAACTCCCGTTTGTCGATTTATCCGAAGATTTATAAAAGTATCCGCCGGTTTATCATGTGGTTTAACGTTTTATTTCTCCGTTTACCCGTTTGTTTGTCTATAACTTTCTCGATTTATCCGAAAATTAATGAATATTATCGGTTTATTCGAAGATTTACACGCTTAATTTTCAATTCATACGGAAGTTTAAACCGTTCGTTTGTATGTTTGTCCGTAAATTAGATACGTAATGAATTTATCAAATATATAAAAATTTAAAATTTCGATAGATTTTCAATGAAAAGAGGGGAAAGAGAGAAAGAAAAAATTTTATTTTGATATCTTCCTTTTACATTTCTTTCGGTGTATATCACAGACTTCGTTCGTTTTATACCGAACTTTAAAAGAATATAAATCTATACCAGTCTATGGGTTTACTGGAGAGGAAAAGTCATTTTCCCTCCTGCATATTTTATTTTCACAGATATTTACTTCCTCAAACTACAAATCTTTACCGTTTTTTTTACGTTAAAAAATTCGAAGGAGGAAGAGAGAGAGAGAGAGAGAGAGAGAGAAAGAAGGGGAAAAAATTCCCTAATTTATTTAGGGAACACAAGAGTCAAAGTTTGGTATCGACCATACACGAAAATAAGTCATTCTAATCGGAATTTTCAGGGAAACTTCCGTAATAATACACCTCTAATAGGCGGATCAATTTTCAGAAATGAGGCAAGATGTCAAATTATTAAATGCGAATATTCTGTTATAATTTTTAAAACCTGGAAGAAAAATAGATTTTTTATTTATTTATTTTTTCTTAAAATATATCGAACTAACCAGCTCCAATTAAACTTCATTTTGTAGTCTTTAAATTTATTAAAGAAGTAAATTATTTTTTTTTAAAATTCGGAAGAATTCCAGATTTTTATCAGGAGTAACAGTTTAGTAATTGTTATCCGCCATTTATTTATTTTATTTACTTGTTTAACTGGAATTAAATTTATGATATTTGACGAGAAATGTTTCAACTTATCGTCGAAATTTATAAGCAAAGCAGATAATAATGTAGAAAAAATTGAAGGGAGGGAGGAAGAGAGAGAGAGAGAGAGAGAGAGAGAGAGGGTGTGTGAGAGAGCACAATTTTACTAATGCAGAAGAGGTTAGGTTATTTAATACACTCTAATCGATGGTATAGATTGGGATAGGAATTCTTCCAATACATTCTGCAACCCTCCATCATTATGCGCAAGAAGCGCAAGAACGCGTTTCCTCAATTGCCCATTGAATCTAATTATATAGAAGGGGTCCACCAGGAGGTCTTTTGTCGCCACCTTCCTGGCGTGCTGTTTTGGTTTACGCTATATATATATATATTTTTTTCCTCCTGCCAGCAAAGGATAATAAAGTTAAAAAAAATTAACGGATTAAATTATATTTACCCAAGAATTATATATGAAAAGACGATTCTTCTCCGACTGTCCGACTAGAGGATTTCTTGGATTAGGAGCGTAATTTTCATAATCCAGCAGGAACCGTTTACCAAGTCCCTAAATTCTTCAACAATAGAACTAATGATGGATTAATGCGTGAATAATACACTTTTGGAGCACTTCTAGAAGGCATTTTCTATCATTTTTTGAAGGGGGAAAGTTTATAAAAATCGGAAACAACCCTTTATTTTGAAAATTGATGATGGACCGTAAGCCATCATCGAGGGGGGAAAAACTTGATTAAGTCATAATTACTGTTAAAAAGTATATTTTTGTGATGTCTTGAGCCTATTTTAGTTGCAGAAAGTTTCAGAAAGACATTATTTTTAGTTGCACCTTACTATTTCTTAAGGAGAACATATTATACGGTTACTATTTTGAGAACGTCGACTACTATTTTAACTCGGTACATGGATCTTTTTTCGGATTCTTTTCGGGCAAGTAAAAATATATGAGAATCTTAATTATCCATTAAACGATTCCTTACATTTAAAACAACATCTTCTAAGGTTTACATTCATTCATTAAGCAATTTAAACGGGGAAATTAATCGTTATTACCTTATTAAATTAACCAATGAATAGGCCTTTTGATAACATTAGTTACGCCCGTCACTAAAGGCCTCGAAACACGTTTAATTAATAAATTATCCATTTAAATTTCTTCTTAAACTCCTCTAGGCTGAGAATTTTTACAAATTTACAATTATTTAAGCATACGTAACTCCTTAATCGCGCTTACGATCGCTCCTTAGAAGGCCTCTAAACTTCGTGACGATTTTAAAATACGTATGCATACATTACAGATAATTTTTATATATATATTTGAACATAGAAATAATTTATTTTTTCTGTCATTTAAGTAACTTTTAGTAGTGATAATTAGGGATCAAACTGCTTAGAGCCTGGAGTGATGCGTTGTTACATCGAGATGCGCCGATTCTTAGACTCGAAAATATTTAACGAGGCCCCAAAAAATTTAACGAGTGTAATAAATGCCTCAACTGGGCCATTTTTGAAACCGTCCGACACAAAAATCGAGCATTTTTTAACTATTTAAATGGCGGTAATGGCATCAGTGCCATGGTAATTATATACATCCATAGCCTATCCTTTAACTTAACTGACGTGACGATTTATTCCAACACTTTGTAGGACCCGCTAAAAACTCGTAACAGGCTCATAATAGGTTAATGTTTATTCGAATTCCTCTAGATGATTTCCTGTTAGTAGGAGCCATTTTTTTTAAAAAAGAAAATAAATGTATTAAAATTCTCTTCTTTTAAGTCGCATCTCACCTTCTTAAAGAGTCTTATGGAGGGGAGAAAGATCCTTATTTTTCTAATTACTCGGATAGTTTTCGCTTTATTTTTTTGGTAGAAAAGTTGTTTTAAATATTATTTTATTTATTAAAAAAATCTTTTTAAAAAATATAATAAAAAGTTTAGTATATTTTCGCGACTTTTACTCTTACAGTTAACGAATTATTTTGAAAAACAGTAAATGAATCCCTGTATTGAGGATGTTAAGAAGAAGGAAAAAAAATCCTCTGAAAGGATTATTTTGAAAATTTTCTAATTGCTTCTAAGATATTTCTTTTGTAAACTTATCTACTTTAGCACAGAGAATTTCTTCTTCTCTATTTTTTTTTTTATTATAGATAAATATATTTCTCTCCCTTCTTCTCTCTTCTTCCTCTTCATCCTAAATCCCAACCAATTACAAAATGGCGTAAAGAAATGACAGTAGAAAAATTTACCTTTATTAACTATTAAATCGAATATTATATTTAATATAAATGGACATTCAAACTATTTATCGACTGGTGAGTAAAAGTTTTGTTGTAACCATGACACCCCATATTGATCAATGTTTTCTTTTCTCACGAGATCCTGGCGCCATCTGATGAACATTTATCGCATTAAATTTTCATTATATATATACATATATATAACTACACATTAATAATAATATTTAAAATAGCAATTCGATGTAAAATAAATAAATAATTTTTTTAAATATATAAATATATATTTATATTAAAAATTCGTACCTANTTTTTTAAATGTTATAAACTTAAAAATAAATTATATAATGCAATATTTTTGGAAGTTTTCGAAGTCCTCTTCACACTTAGAAGATAACAATGAAAATATGTCAAGTGCATTTGTTGTAGCATCCCATTGCTTTAACAGTGTCTGTTGTCCAATGATCTTGCCAATTTTCGTAGGCTACTTTCCAAATATATCCTAAGCTTAACTCTAAAAACTTTAAAAATCAGCTCGTAAACTATGAAACGTCTCTGTATAACTACAACTGTTATAATAAGAACTTAAAAAGTAAAGGCAAAAATAAAAAATTAATCATTACTCTAGTTTAAAACAGCCAAAAAAATAACATAAATACGTCTTAAACTTTAATTTTGAGCTTAAATATTCGTAAAATTTCAAAACACATTATTAATTGAAAATGCAAAAATATCGATTAAATTCTTTATTATTCGCTACATGTTTTTAATAATTGGGATGGGAATAAACGTGGTGGCAATAGTATCAAGGCTACTTTTGTAAGAGGAATTGCGGTGTTATTTATGGTAAAATTATATTAAAAAATGATTTTTTTGTATGTAAAAATGTGTAAATTTTGTAAGAAATTTTGTTATATGCAATTTTTTTTGTTTTTTTTTTTGTTTTTTTTACGTTTTCTTTACAGACAAAGATGAACACTTCTGATCAACATGCCACTCCGCCTCTACAAAAAGGTAAATTGAATAGAAAATTTTAGAACAAGAAAATTCGTAAATTTTCTAATTTAACTTAATTGGTTTAATGATCGATAAAATTTAATTCCACCCTCATACTAAATTTTGCTGCCATCTACTAGCGCAATTTGAAATGATTTTATTATTAAATATTTAATTTATTTTTTAAAATAAATTATTCTAATTAATTTTAATTAAAACTTAGAGTTTAAAAAAAAACTCGAGGGTTTTTATTTATATTTTTTTAATATAAAATTTTATATGTAAATTGGGCTTCTGAACGTGTTTAAAAGTTATTCGGGAGCTTAAAATGAATTTATTTTAATATTTTTTAACGTGTAAAATGGTGTTAAGTGCGAAGAATTTATAGTTTTAAACGTCGGGATTTTTTTGAGATGGTGTTTAATCGGAATTGGGTATTATTGCACCGGATATAAAATAAATTTCTTATTAATTTAACAGAATTAACGCCCGGTTAACCGGATTAAGTGTCCGGATAATGACTGTCGTAATAAGAGTATTTAGTGTCCAGTTAAATTAGCATCCGAATAATTTAATTCTTAACGGTTCTTAATGCCGTTTAACTACTTTATTTTCTTAGTTTTATTATCAGAAATTTTATTAAGAGTGGAGTTATATTTAAAAAAAATATATATATATTATGTTTTTAATTATCAAAATGGAAGTCGTGTGGATGGAGAGTTTGGTATATATTAGCCTTATAAGCGGAGAATTAAGGAAAGGGGCGAGTAAAACACGTGGAGAATGAGATATTTTAGCGTTATATGCGAAGGTTTTGTGGGGTGAGAAAGGTGAGGAAACGTGTTAAAAATAAGAGGGATAGTCGGAGGAAATCTTAAACGTTAGTGAAATGAATAAAAGCTGATATTTTGGTGGAACATAATCGCGTGTTTGACTGGCAGAACACCAGACTGCGCACACAGTCAACCCTTTACCGATAAAACGTTCGCTTCCACAGCATCACTTCAACCCTTTCGTTACATCAACGGGGGAGGCGTATATAGCTAGGGGGATGGAAACGATGCTTCCCCATCGCGTCAGGAGAACGAAGCCGAACACGCCATCATCGACATTATCTGTCCACTGTCTGCCATTTTAGAAGTCCAGTATGTTTGGCCAAAGAGATCCGTAAGTGAAGAATCTCGCCATGATAAATTTGACAAGAGGGCCAAAATAGGATGGAAATGCAAAGAAGGCAAGGTATGGGCTGCGTAACGCCCATGATATCATTAGAAAAGTTGAGAAATTTTCTAGTACAACCGAAATATAAACCAATTGTTAACCAAGAAAGATATGGCGATGTCGAAGCCGTGGATGTTGGAGGAAATTATCTGGAGCAACAACGATCGTGTTTAGCATGGCGTCAATCGACTGTTCCTCCTGGTATCAAAGGGTTGGCGAATAGAGATGAAGGGATGTACCGGAGAGGTAAGAACTCTTTAAGCACACCATCCAAAAAAACCCACCCCGTTTTGCTTGGACCGGTTTTTATATCTTCCGCATGTTTTCCTTAAGATGATTTTAGTCTGTTTTTAAAGATTACTAATGTAATATCTAGCTACTCGATACACAATGATTTATCTATTAACACAATAGAAGGCATTAACAGTAGCTAGCATGAGTTACATTTTACTGGTAATTTATACAAAAAATTAAAAAAGTATATACGATATTTACATGTTGTTTGTATTGGCGTGGCATTCTACAATTACCATTTCTTCTCTATAATCGGGCATTAAATCAGTATAACTGGTTGTAACTTAAACTACAGTTATAGTTAGACCAAAGAATAGCTTCTTAAACGGTTATAACTCGTTATAAAGGCTAAACTAAGCCTGTTTTTCTATCAGAAGTCCAATTTACGTGTCACACTTAGCTTAAATTAGTTTATTATCAGTAATTTTTTCGACTAGAATGAATTTTCTAAGGCCTTTATATCATTAACTCGCCTTTGAAAGTAGATGCTACACTAAGTAGACTTGTTGTAAATTTAATTATAGTTAAAATTAGTTAAGTTTTATGATTTAGAATATAAGGAAAATAGGATTTGTGTCACAACTATTATAAATTTAATATGCAGATATGTTTTAAGTTTAAGAGTTAAAGCATCTAGAACATAAGATGTATTATTAATGGTTGTCATTTCATTGTTAGCTAGTAGGAAACTAACTTAAGATTATTTGCACCGAGCATGCGTTAAAACGTCACATTATGTACCGGGGACCATCCCCTCTTATTGACATGGGATCTCTATTGGCCCTCCACATAGTCTGTCAGAGGCCAGCATTTCCTTACTGGTTAGAATAGTAAGAGACGGTCGATAATTATGTTGATGTTATGCCTGGTTAGGACAAAGAAGTCGAATCTGCTGCCCTTCTAATAGTAAAAGCAAGTGTTTTAATCATTAAAAGAACACTATAAACCTTATGCATCATTAATTATCTAGATTCGAAACCTAAGACACTGCACAAGTTACCATCATAAGTTTAGTTTCTACACTCAAGAAGGGGATGAAGCATGGTATATTTTAGGATTGTTTATGCAAGAATTAATTTCTTTGTGTGCAAATTTTTTTAAAAAAATTTCAAAAATTAACAAGAATAGACATTTTTATTAAAAGTAAACACTATTACATATAAGTTTCATACAGCTAAATGGCTTAACAAAGTCATATCAGGCATTAAAAGTCTTCCATTTGAGGAAACAAAAAGTTCAATTATCATTAAAAAAATATTTAATTATTAAAGGAAAACATTATTAAAAGCTCATAAATATTCTACTAATCATGTTTAAACAATTTAAAAGATTTTAAGTATGGTGAAACAGGTCCAACATTATATTTAAATGCCATTTTTCGTTAGAAGAGAAGGAAAAAATTCCTTTGTTAAATATAAAAATTCTTTTTTTAAAAAAAAATTATTTATTCAAATTATTCATCAGGACAGTATCAAATCTCACTTATTAAAGTCATTATCTTACATTTTCTCAAATTACTCATCAGTTTATGGAGTTAATGTAAAGAAAATAACTTACATAAAAGAAATTTAATGCTTAGTTTCTAATTAAAAATAATCAAAATATTCATAATTATATTATTTTATTTGCAAATTCTCTTTATAAATCTGTTGATTTTGAACTTTAGCTGTTAAAAAGTTAGCTTTCTGTCAGGTATTTATAACCTATTTATGTTCTTTTTTTTATATATTTACACAGTTAAGGTTCATGGTCTGCCTAAAAGACTCTGTATACAAATCCACTTCAAACAAGAGCAGGGGTCCTATTGTTAAGGATATAATGCAAGAAAAAACCCTCCTTCTTTTGTAAGAGGGAATTTTTTTTAAGTTGAATTCTTATAAAGGGATAATAAATTATTTTTTAATTTAATCGAGAAGAACAGGTTGTCTACTATGATACTGTTAAGTAAAAACCATTTAGTGACATATACTAATTGAGTCTTAAAGATTAATAAGAATTACACTAATTTTATTCTTTTTTCGGAAATTTTTTTTATAAGAAATTCTATGGAAAAACGATTAAAATAGCTAAATTTTTCTGCTGTTTATTCTGTTAGTAAGTTAGTAAGGAGAAGTAGGAAAAGTATAAGGATTTTAATGGTAATTACTAAATTATCAAGGCTTTAATTGGGTTTTTATTAATTTTAATAACGTTTAGATGCTGTAAATTAGTTAAATTGACTAAAAGAATATATGATAGATTTAAAAATTGAACACAAAACGTATTACTTTAAGGAGTGGTCTTATTAGAAGTGTTCTAAAGTATAGCGATTATAATGATAATTACTAAATTATCAAAGCTTTAATAAGGTTTTTATTAAATTTTATAACATTTTGATGTTCTAAATTAGTTAAATTCATTCAAAAAAAAGTAATAAATTTAAAAATTCCTCACAAAACTTATTACTGTAAGTTTGATTAGAGGTGTTATAAAGTATAGTGATTTTAATGATAATTACTAAATTACCAAAGCTTTAATTGTGCTTTTATTAAATTTTACAACATTTAGATACTCAAAATTAGTTAAATTGGATAAAAGAACAAGTAATAAGTTTAAAAAACGCTAGTGAAAGGTGTAAAGATTAACCTGATTAAACCTATCACACTACCGTTTACAAGACTGCATCACATGTGTATTTAAGTACCTGTATCGGTTGTAAATGTAGTATTATTAGAACTAGCTGTTAAAAATCTCGAATTTAATTCGGTTTCATGTCCTAATTTTAAAAAACATCCCGAGAGAATTAAAAGAGTTTTTGGAAGGGAGAATTGAAACCTGGCATCAACACCTTTACTCTTCTAAGTGATCCTAAATCAAAGTTAACCCGTTAAAAAAAGAAAAAAAGTATTAAAGAAAGAACGAAATTGATAGGGTTTTCTTTTTCTTTTTTGCAGTTAAAAGCCCCTCCAATAAAAATAATTACGATTGATGCTATAAACAAACCCAAACAGATATAAACACATATTGCTATTTCAGGGACAGATGCTAAAAACTAAAAACAGAACTTGACAAAAGACAGCGCTTGTATATCAAAAGAGACAACCGGACATCTATTCTTGCCAACAAACAACTAAGTTAAGCAAGTTAGTTGCAGGATAAAAAAGATTTTCTACTCATTTAACTACTGCCCGAAGGTTGAATTTCGATGCCAACAAAGAATCATTTGTCGGCTAACAAACTTATTATGCATAAGGACAACGCCACATAAATATTATGCCTCCTGCAAAAATAAAAATAATAATAATAATAATAAAAAAATAAATAATAATTTAAAATATTTTTTTCTTCCCCCTCCTTCTATTTTAGTTAGTAGAAAGTAATAATTATTTTTAAGTCATTGACCTTTCTATTTAATTTCTGTCATTTTTTAATGCGGTAAACAGGGGTGCAATCTTTTAGAAACATTAAAACGAGGTGTTCGGGTGTGATTTTCGCGTGTATTAAACTTTAATTTAGATGCTTGTTATTACAGTTCTTCGTTCGGTTGTTTTAGTAGTCTAAAGGCATTGTACCTCGATTTACCTTTACACTAAACGAAGGTTGCTTCCCTTTTAAAAGACGTTAAAACGAGGTGTTCGGGTGTGTAGGAAACTTTAACTTAGCTCCTCATTATTAAAATCATTTTGATAGTATAAAATTGGGTTTCATATATCGAAAAGTACTTCGAATTACGTACACTAAAAGAGTGGTGTACGCCCTTTAAAAATGATAAAACGAGGTATTCTGGTATGAAATTTTCGAACGAAATCGCGATATTTTCATTTAATTTAGCTCATTATCATTAAAAATTCTTCACTATTAAAAAAAAATGGGTTCTATAAACCCAACCTTCCCATATCCTGAGCCAATAGTTTAATAATGGAAAAAAATTGTAATTTACATCGTATAATATTAAACCAATTCTGATATATTTTGATAATAGGTCCAGTATCTGGTCTGGACGATAATCGAGCAAGCAGTATCGAGCCTTCACAGATTCATGGCATCTATGGCAATCATGGTAACAGGACCAGTAGCAGTGGGAGTCCTCCAGTATCGACGCCATCTTCGAGTGGTTCCATGGTAGTTATACCACAGCCCATAAATGCTATAGCGAAAGGTCCAGCATTGGGTTCTGCAAGCACCAATGGCACCGGTAGGAAATATCAGTGCAAAATGTGCCCACAGGTAAGGAAGAATTCTCATACTAAAACATTAAATTTGTATTCAGAAACTTTCAAATTGAACTTCCTCAAACAACAATTAGGAAATAATATGAAGTCTTTTGCTTTCTTCTATAACTTTCTTCCCTTTTTTTTTCTTCCCTTAATATTTAGCCCATGTTTCCTTACTACATCCTGAATTATTAATAAAGTTCTTACAAAAAGTTTGAATTATTTATATCCTTCAAATTAAAAACTAGTAAACAATTTTTTATGCGTGATCCCCTCTTCTAATTTTTTCTTATTCTTTAAATATTTAAAAAATAAAGTAATATTATATATATATATATAATTATATTATATAAAANTTTTTTAAAATAAAAACAATTTTTAAATTTAATTTTTTTCTCCTTTCTCCATGCCGATAAACGTTATTTTATTTTATTAGGAGCGATAAATCACATTAATTCACTATTTGCTGTCCGAAAATTACCTTAATTGGGATTAGTTCTACCCAAATATTACGTTTATTAAAAATTCTGCTGAAGAACGAAATTTTTTATTTAAAAAAATCTTTAAAAGATGTCAATCTTTAATAAGATTTTTTAAAAATTCTATCAATTTTTATAGAAAAATTAGGACAGTAAAATTACTTCCACCCCCTAATTTTTTTAAATTTTTTTTTCATATTTTATTAATACGTCACTCATAGTTAGTTAGTTACCCATTTATATGGAATTTCTAATGGGGAAAAAATTGATTTTTTTTCACTGGAAACATCGTAATTTTCATTATTATATCCATTTAAACTGCTTACAAATCAACCATTTTCGAGTAAATAAGACACGAAGACAATTTTCTACTCACGTAAAATGCTCAGAAAACGTATTATTACTAAATTTAAACACGTTTAATTTAGAAAAATCCTTTTTATTTTAAATATTTCCAATTTTAAAACGTGTCTAACAACGAATTTAGTCACGAATCGAACTCGAAAATCGTGGTTTTTCGGCCGAAAATCTTAAGTAATTTAACGGAAAAAAAACCGTAAAATTTATAAATTTACATCCGAATTTTAATTATATAAATTAATTTCAATAAGGAAATTATTTGGGAGTTTAAAAAATTCAAAAAAATAAATAAATAAATAAATAATTAGAAAGAAGACGAAGAAGAAGTCGAGTAAGTGAATATTTCAGTAGACAATAAAGTATAGGTTGGTTTGTTAAATGACTTTATAATTATTCAATGTAAGACAAGTTTTTCTGTAAATTATTAGTAGTAGAGTTATAATTATACGAGTAAATTAGAGTTTAGTTGATCTGTTTTTAAAATGAAGTGGGTCGGAAAACGGAAAAAGAAGTTTTTCACATGATGCATCCATCTTTCTCTCTCTCTCTTTCTCTCTTCACGTTTGTAACGCTTACTAAATGTGGAAAAAAATTACCAGGGGAGTTTCTAATCCCACAAGAATAGTTACGGGAGCGAAAAGGCAGCTGTTTTCTACGAAACAGATGAGAATTTTACGTCACAGAGTGACCAGGCCACACTGTAACTTGCATGGATCCAAAGGCCTGGCTTACTGTAGAAAACTGGAATTGACTCTTCCTGATTTTGCAATTCTTGCAGAAATAAGTAGGGGAAAAACGTTTAAAAAAAGTAGATTTAAATAGGATAGATTTTGAACTAAATTTCTGAACTAATTTTTCAATTTTTCTCGATTTTTCTTGAAGAGTTGTCCAAGATAGACGGCTTCATGTTCACTCATGCTAACTGCGATACTTTTTATACGCATGGATGAACAGAAATGAAATGACTATTCCGGTTCTGGTATCATTATACACATGATGACTATGCTAGAAAGGTTATCATGGGGAAAGGTTACTTTATCAATGTACAAGTGACTAATAAGGCTACTTTTCCGGCTCCGTCTTGATTGCCTTTCCGGTTTATAGAGCAGTCGGAGTTCGGGGGGTTTGGGTTCGAATCTCTGCTTATTTTGGCGATTTTAAGTAGTATAAACTGTTTAATTATATGAATTAAACACTTCTAAGTCCGCTCTCCTTGCTATAATTTAATTTTTTGAGGTTTATGAGGGCAAAAAAGGCAGTATAAAAGTCGCTAACTTCACCAGCGCGCTTCCTAGAATACTAATCTGTTAAAGCAGATGTTTGGAGAATTTATGCCACTTTTTTGTGTAAAAAATTATAAATTATTTATTTATTTCACCTCCGAACGGTTATTTTTATTCCTTTTATCAGAATAAAAGCGGTAAACAATGTTAAAATTAAATTAAAATCGAGAAAACGTTAAGGACTTTATGGCCATTTTGTACTGTTTCTTCGGCTTGTCAGCCATTTTATTTAAAGAAAATAAACCTTAAAACTTTAAAAAGTTTATATTTTATCATCTAAGATCCATTTATTACAGTTTAATTCTCAGATAAAATGGATTTAAGAAGTATATCATGCCTGAAATAGTGTTTAAATTATGAAAGTATTTATATATATATCGAGAATATAATTTAGGTTAATATCATAGTTTTAAAAGTAGATTTAAACCGAGTTAAATGTTCTTTTCATTAAGATATGAACAATCATTTAGTAGTTTTCCTTGATTTAAATATTTAAAGAGAGTTTTTCTTGTGATAAATATCGTAATTATCGAAAAAAAATAACTTAATTTTTCTTCGAAAAATAAATTATATCTTTAAATATCAATAATCGTTCGCGTAGTTTCCTGAGTTTTTTCGGTTGTTTTTTTTTTCTTCGAGAAAATTGCAAATAAAATGTGAAATTTTCTGTAAACTTTAACAAAGACATCAAATGTATTTTCTACGACGAAATTTTCACTCGATTATCAGGAAATTTTCACTAGAATTTCGTCATAATCGAGTCAAAATTTCGTCAGAATTCTGCGCTTTATTATTCAATTTTACACCTTTTTCTGTTAATTATAATGAAAATTTTAGCGAAAATTTAATTATAATTAACAGAAAAAGGTGTAAAATTTAAATATTTAACTAAATTCTGCAGAAATTTTTTAGTGCTATTTAATAATAATAATAATATTATTATTATTATTATAGGAGCTTAAATTTAAGTGAGAATTCTAATCTTTCTGTTGCTGTTTTTTTAAAGAAAAATTTATTTAAAATAAATATTTTGATTATTTAGTTGAAAATTAAGGTTTTAATTCCAGATATATTTATTTTTATATCTAAAAAACCATAGGCTTTAAGGCATCATTGAATTAAAGCATAATTCTCTTCTGATCCGACTTATGCGTTTAAATTGAATATTTACTTGTTTTTTGTTGGTTCTGGAAGAGTTTTGGCTGTAGATTTTCAAGTTTTTATTATAAATATTCTTAAAATTTAACTTAGAAAAAGAGAGAATGCACGAAGTTTACTAGATGCTGATTATGATCTACAACTAAACTGTGCAGAATATTAAGAATATTGCAGTACGAGCGCGTAATATTAAGTAAATTTATATTTTTAAGACATAATAAATATATTTTTTTCGTATTTTCATGACTTCTAGAACACTTTAAGCAACATAAATAAAAGAAAAACTTTCATTTTTCTACCTTTTCAAGTTCTTCTCCATAGGAGATGATGATAAAGTTTAGTGATTTATTTCCCATTTTTCGACTTATTTATTGCCAAAAATTAAAAAAATTTTTGATGGTTTTGATTCTTTATGCATGTTAAGTTCTTTATTTAATGTAAGAATTGCTTCTGATCTTTAAATTTTGCTTCAAATACGTGTCAAGATATGAGAAAAATGAAAGATAAAGTCAGTATGTAAGGACTTTACAATCTTTACATATTAAGATTTAAAGTCTTTGTATATAAAAACCCTTTCTAAATAAATTAAACTGTATTTTGCACGTTTACTGGTTTTTCTATAATTCGAAATTTGAGTGCAAAATTGCTTGAACGGTACTTGCATCTCTGAGTACTTGCTTTTATTTTAGATGGAAAAATCTTATAATATTTAATAAAATTTTCATTAAAGTACAAATAATACATTTAATATTAAAGTTAAATTAGATTTTATCAACATTTCCAATAAAATATTTTAAGAATCAATTACTTAAAAACGCAATTTAAAACCGAAATCTAGCATTTTTTCTATGGCATTTCCTTGAAGAGGATCTTTTACGAATGGGATTTTTACACGTAAAAGTATTTAATATCAATTATATTTTCCATTTTTTTAAAGATAAAACGAAAATTTAAGCGAAATAAATTTAATAATTGATATATAAATTATAATTGATAATTGATGAATTGTAAGAAGATTCATACATGAGTGTAAACTTATTATTATTAAAGAATAGAAAACACTTGTAAACTCTGAAGAAAATCCTGTTAAATAAATGGAATTAACAATTCAATTTTTCTTAAAAGTTAATTATATTTATGAGAAACATGAAAATTTTATAGAATTTCGTTGAAAATTTTCGCAATCTTTTATAATTAAGAGCTTGGATAGATCTAATTTTTGAATGATAAAATGCTTATGTTTTATAGAAAACGAGGAGAATTTATTTAATATTTTAATAATAATTTAAAAAAATATATCATTTTAAAAATTTTATAAAAAGTTTACTCTTATTTTATGCAAATATCTAAAATTTCCAACGAATTCTTCCATTAACTTTCCTATAATTCTGTATAGATCTAGGCCTATAGGCCACATCCAAATTTATACAATTAACGCTTCAAAATATCAGTTTTATATTCTATAAAAATTTAAGTTAATTAATTTCTATTCAATTCCAATTAAATATTGGCAAAGTATAATTAAAAAACCGTTCCAATTCTACACTTCATAAAGGCCATTCTTCGGCAGCCAAGAACCAGGATTCCAAACCTTAACATCATTTAAATATATGTAATTATAACTATAAAATATTAAATAAAATTAAATATTTATGCTTTTTTTTTTAATCGTCGAATCCACCAAGCAGGAGTTATTTAAGAATAAACCATGAAAATTTGGTGTTTGGATCAGT